CCAAAACTACTTGAACTTAATTTATTTTTGGTTTTGCATGTTGAAAATTTCAACGCTTTCATTAATCATAATCAGTGGTGTATCAACAACTAAAAATCCATTTATCCCTAGATGTTATCAGAAAATCAAATAGTCTTTAAACATTATGATAAGCAAAGAGATTTAGAGGGCTTATTGATGTGAAAATGTCTCAAATCCTCATGCTTTTCTATGCAAAGGATATTTTCATTTTTTCACAGCACATGAAATTGTCTTAAACAGTCGTACAATCAGAATCTTTTCTCTTAACCAGATCTAGCCTGAAACAGTTTCACTTGAGGTTTTCTTATAGAATCCATCTATATATGTAGATGCCAGAAATAAGTATATAAACTAACTATTATCCTATGATGCATATGTAAAACAATTCTCTCTTTTTTAATAAAATTCAATCATGTAAATGGATTACGTTTGAGATTGCCATCATGATTCATGCACCACACGGTAGATGCTCTTACATGCATGTTTAACCTTCGAGTAAGTGAATTAACTCGAACACATGCAACTCATTTAATCAAGCCAACAAGGTATTTGCTCATATTCCAAAGGGGGCCTAATGAGTTATTCAGATCAACAAAACCCAAACTACATGCTTGCTAATGTTAACACCGTTCCATTCACCTATCCAACTAAAGTGAAAAGACATCCAGGGGATTTATGTAGTTTTACAGAGTTCATTAAATCTCATTTTCAACGATCAGTAGATATATGCACAGAAAGACTATAACCTATTGATATATTATAGCTAAAAGTAAAATTAGAGATGACAAGTTTCTTACCGAAGAGAAGTCCTAATCGCGATTGAAGAAGGAAACTAGTTAAGTTGTATTATTGCTTCATCAGGTTGTTGAGTTTTGATTTGCTTTTTCGTTAGAAAACTGTCTCTATTTCAGTGTTCTTCCTATGTTTTTTTGTCTCCATTGAATCTCCTCTGCTTTTATATTTCACCCTCAGACTCAAACCCTAATTTCTTCCCATCCACCTTGTCTCCATTCGTTGAAATCACCTCATTTGCCTCCCTTCTTCCCTACTTCTAATTTTCTCTCTCTGATTTCCCTCTCCTTTGCTCTTCTACTCTCTTTCTCCCTCTCTACGATGACCTTAATAAATCTCTCCATAAAGAAACCCTAAAATCCCAAATTCTAGAAACTTTATGTTTCTCAGCTTTTTCCCTTTGCCTCGCAAACACACACACACACTCTCTCTCCCTCATCTGTCATAAACTGATCCCTTTCTCTTCCCCGGGTAGCATCAATTTCACCAATGGCGGTTGATTTAAACTCCCTTACTTCCCACTTCTTATTCGACTGGTAAAAGCGGATTAAATAAATATTTAAGCTTTTTAAAATTAATTATTACATTTTTTTCAAAAATTATCACTTGTGTTTTGTTAAAACCTATAAATTTCTGAAAAAAAAAACTCTCAAATCCAATAAAATTTTAAAAATCATAAGTTATTACTCATTAAATTTTAAGGCTATGATTCATCCTTACATAAATTATTTATTTCACTAAGTAATTAATTCTTATGTTATATTTAATTATTAAAATCAAATTTTCGTTATAAAATATATTAATTTTTTATTATAAAATTTTAATTTATTTTACAAAAATATCTACACCAAACCCAAAAAAGATAAAAGAAAAGAAAATTCAAAAAGTGCACTCTATGTTCCAATCAAATTGGACACGTGCATCTTTCCAATATTAAGTCTCTGGGTCCCACAATTTTGTTCCATATTTGCTAGGTGTCTTGGGAGGAAGCAATCTCAACTTATTCCATATTATCTTTTCATTATTTTATTTTAAAAAATCATTAATTTATTTTAAATTGATTTTTTAGTGTGGATTAAAATAACCAAAAAAATTACCATAATTAAATTAAAAAAACATAAGAAATAAATGAGACGACAACAATTTGATAAACTATTTAATCGTAAATTCATCCAAAATCATTATAAATTAAATATAATAAAATGAGATTATTACAAATTTTTAATTTTTAATAAATTATAATTTTATTGTGCAATTTATTTCGTTAAATTTAAATAATCACTAAACAAAAAAACAAAATTTAATTAAAAAAAGGGCATTATTGAGAGATTGTAATATTAATTATTCTAATTATCAAATAACGTATTTTAGTCTCTGAAAAATTTGCATCTACATTTACATATATACATATATATGTAGATATTTCCGTATACCATAATACATTTATTTTATTTTTTATATTTCATATTAATCTACCATTGGGTCCATCCCACCGTCCATAGCCCACACTGGAGATACATATCCAACAAAAAATCTAGTGAATTATTTATATTCACCTACCAATTTGGGTTTGTTATTATCCCTTTAAATAATAATTTTAATTTCACATATTGATATTTTTACCCCGTTCTATGTGGGGGTGGAACTTTGAGATAGTTATACACCATGTACATATTATTGACACAATCTATATTCTCTAAATATTTCAATTACTTTATGTTTATACCATTATTAAGAAGTTTATTACATGTTATTGGTATATAAATTGTATTCTTATTATTATTTTTTGTATATAAATTTAGTTTGTGAGTTATTTTTAATAGTGAATTTAAATTTAAATTAAACTTTTAAAATATTTTTTTAAAAAATAATATATACTAAGGTGGTTTAGTTTAGTTAATTTAATAATTTAAAGAAATAACACTAAAGTTTCAAATATTATGATTTAATTCGAGATTATTTTTTGTGAATTTTATCTATTATAAAATATTATTTTAAAAAAAAAAGCTTAAAAAATGGGCAATAAAATAACAAAATGGAATAAATATTAATTTATTAAAAAATAAGAGCAGTTAGGCTTTGGCATTAAAATAACGCGGACAAGAAACCTGGTTCGTTCACGCTGAAATTGCCGCCAAAAACCTGGACCCATCACGTGACTATTTGACCCGTCAGCCATTCCCTTCCGAGTCACGTGCTTATAACGAATCCTACGCGCCCCGTACGGACACTCCTTTTTCACTGTTGATTTTTTTTATTTTTAAAAAAAATGCTAAAAGCCCTCGCAATAAGAATTAGGGAGAGATCGAAAAAGTTCAAACACATCAAGTCTGCGCTGCCCACTCGGGCAGCGTTAACCTTAGCTGTTCCAATAGAAATTTGCCACTTCATGAATGATCTAGTCGGTAATTGTAGTCGGGCTGCCCGAGATTTAAATGTAAGAATTTAAAATAAATTAAAAACTTTAGCTATATTATTTTAAATATCTTAGTAAATTTTAATTTGTTTTTTAAAAATATAATATAATTCTAGAGATTTCTTAAATTATAATTTATAAATGTGATTTTATTTTTTAGCATACAAATTTTAAATTATAATTTATAAAAATAATTTTCGGGGGTAATTTTTTTTTTCTTTATTAAATTTTGAAAACGGAGAAAGTCGAGAAAATAATTTTCAGACACCCCACAAGTGTATGTGGAAATATGGCTAAGGAGGTCTCTTTATACTTTTCTTATACCACCTTTCTTTTTTCTTCTTCTTCATTTTGAACTCTCTCTGTGAATAATCTTATATCTCCCCTGTTAATCTTCTCCTCTCTCTGTTGATTTCTTTTTTCTTGGTAAGATTTTTCTTGGGCTTCTTTTTTCCCTTGAAAATTGGAGGAGGCATCCTTGTACAGTATTATATCTACCTCTCAAGAGAATAAATTCTTTTTTAAGAAAAAATTCCAGTTCGTGGGTTATTATTCTTCTCTAGCATCTCATTATAAATTGTTTGGGAGGTTGTTTGGAGAATCTGTGAAGTTCTTTTTGGGAAGAAGGAAATGGATGATGAGTACGCTAAGCTTATCAGGAGAATGAACCCACCCAGGTAGCTTTTTAATTTTTTTCTTTTTCAGAATTTTTGGTTTGTTTCACTAGTTTTCTTCTGTGGTTCTGGATTTCTGCCGGACTTTTTTGGTTTTTATCGTATTTTTATAGTTAGTTTCTCTTTGGTTTTGGTGGATATTGTTGGGGTTGTGTTAATTTTTGTTTATTTCTTTGGTTATAAATCTTATCTTTTCCTTTTATAGAATCACATGGTTATACTTTGCAATCTCTGCAAGTTATCCTTTGTTATAATTGATATCTATATTCTTTAAGCTCCTGGAAAATATTGTTGCATGTTTCTGTTTGTTTCCCGGGAAATTACTGATAAGTGAGGGACAATGAAAGACCTGCCCTGAATTTTTTGCCGAAGTTGTACAAAACCTGATTGTTCCTTTTTTAAGTATGTATTTATTTTTTGTATTTTTGGGAAAAGCTACAAAAGTAGTCTACTACTTTTCTTTTTTCTCTTAGATCTCTTTTAGGTTACTTTCCCTTTTCCTTCTCACAAATTTCTCATACACAATTTGACTTCCATTTTCACCTCCCTCTAAACTAAAATCATGTGGACAATAATGGGTTTCTTTTGGATAATTCAAGTAATCTTTCTACGATTAGCCTTTTGATATTGTATTTCCCATTTTTCATGCCA